TGGGAGAGGCTGCTGGCGGTGTACACGGGAGGGGACTGCGTCCTGACGCGTGACGACGAGGCGGAGCTGCTGGAGTTGAGGGCGGGCATCTGCTGCAAGCTCACCGGGGCGATGGTCTGCACCATCTCCCTGTCGTGCTTCACGATCTGCTTCAGGATCTCATTCTCCTGGTTGTTGAAAACCCCAGTGTTGAGGTCCTTCTGGAACTTCTGCAGGAGGATCGAGTTCTTCTTCCCTTCACAGAGAGGCAGAAGTGTTAGCAAGCCTGACGCGCAGGGGCAGGCCCCTGCTCTGACTTTGCGTTTCAGCCCCCATTGCCAAGGGCGACATATTGCAAAAGGCTCAGCAAACAGCAGGCTGAGCAGGGGCTGGTGGCGGCGAGCCCACTGCCATAGGCTATGCCACACCAGGCACTGGCACAGCGACTCAGCAGGCAGGCAGCCCCCGAGGGCTGGCCCCCGTGCACAGCCGGTCCCCCCGTCTCTGCGCTAGCACAGCAGGCCTTCATACCACCACCGTGCTCAAAGACACCTGGACTTCCTGTGCCTCTTCACTTGTAGTCTATTGCTATCGCAACAATCACTCTGAAAATGTAACCACGGTAATTTACTGAACAACAGGGTGGAAAAAGCCATCAGGCTCTGCATGTGTAACATCCTTCTCTCTCATTGCAAAACTGTCATGATTTCCACTAAATGGTTATGTAAGTTATAAACAGACCTGCCATTTAGCACATTCCCTGGAACTAATTATTAGACATCAGTAACCAGTGAGCACTAGCTTGCAAGAAATCATCTTTTTAAATGTTTGTGAACTAATATGAACTCATGGATAATGTGACACCTGTTTACACAGTAAAGACTGCTGTACACTGTGTACTGATGTCTGTTTGATGGCTCTCAGTGTCTGCAGTCTGTAGGCACTATTATGTGTCATCAGACACACAGGAACACCATTGCACTCAATTGTTCCTTTTTTTGACAAAACGCTTCACATTTTATCTTTTGTCCTGTGTAGATTTCATATTATAAACACAGCACTTCAGATGGGATTGCTACCCTAAGAGCAAACTGCACTTCACTACTAATATTATTTAAGTACATATTACTTAGAGTTGGATTACATTTCCAGAGTGCCTTGAGAGACAAACTAAGAGTTTGAAAAGTCTTGGTAAGATAAATTAATGCACTGAGTACTCACAATCTGCAAAATACTAGAACGGGTCTATTAAAGGTTAAAAACCTGTATACCTGTACTTAATTTCTTTACTCTTGCTATATTAAGGAAAACATGCTTTCCTCCAAATCACTTCTTCAGCTTAGAATAGACAGCACCACTACACTGCCCTGCTTTCTGTATTCACTTTGAAGAAACTGCAGACATAACTGTATTGAGGAAGAGTGATGTGGGGAAATCCATACACTGGAGTTTTGTGAAGTCAAGGAAACACCACCAAACAGGATAAATAATTTTTTTTATGCACAGCTGCATTTTAAAAGCAGTGTCAATAATGATCATCAGAGTGCAGTTCTCCCAATCACACACCATATGTGTGTGTCTATCTAGTATGTCCTATTGGAGAGGTCTAGAATGCCTGGATGCACCCTGTTTTGATAATCCGCCATATCCTTCTGCCTTTCACTTGGATATTGTTGGCTGCTTTTCTGATTGCAAGCAGATCTGAGTAATGTCAGTGTGCAGTCATCAATGCTAGCAGTGCCCATGTTGTGAGGAAAATGAGAGCCCTGCTGCAAAGGATTAATTCACTTCAACAAACATGGGTTTTGCGAGTGCTGAGAGGCTTCAGGTCTTCCCAGCATTATAGATGTCATCTGTAAACAATTTATGTAGGAAAATGTAATCTACTGCTCATGAAACAACATAAACTCTATCAAGAGCTGAGAGCAGCAAAAAGAAATATACAGGATTAATAAATAATACTAAAGATAATTAAAGTATACAAAATAATCCTCAGAGGAGTATGAGAGCTTTCTAAAACCCAAAGTTCTTTATTATTTAAAAGTGATATTGCAGAATTTCTTGTCTGGACACATGTCTTATTCATAGATCAACAGAACATTTACTGCAGTGTAACCAAAACAAAACTTTTAAGAAGGGTTTAATGTGGGCATTTTATCCTGCATCTCAAGAAAAAGAAAAGGTAGAAGGGCTTTAAGAATTCCTAATATGGAAAAAAAAACCATAATACCTATCCTGTCAAGTCTATCAATTGCCACCGTTTCAAAGGCCCTTCTCATCATGGGGTACTCTTCCAGAACCTCATTGAAGTTGTCCACCGAGAGGGAATACAGGCGACAGTACGTGTCTGCTCGTACACTGGCAGTTCGACGGCCCTTGGTCAAAAGGCAAATCTCTGCGGAGAGAAAAATTCAGCACACACAGAAAACAACAGTGAACCATGTGAAACTTAAAAGCTAGGAAGTGACTCACTGTTAACAAGTACTAATTCACTCCTCAGCAGCAATTTTTCTATTGCTGTTTACGCAAGATTGTAGGGACAATTCTGAGGGTGTTTTATTCTACTTTTGCTACTCTGAAAAAAATAACTAATGTCCTTTAAGAGTCCTGCTTATAGGTTTGCTTGGTCTGGACTCTGATTTTATCATGCCTTTTCAAAAAAATTCTTTAAGAAATGATCAATCAGCTGTCAAACATAGCTCGCTGACTCAATTAACCCAAGTGATTCTATTGATTTTTTTTTAAAATATCCAGCTGAAATAGAGGACCAATTGCTTTAATCATTCACCAGACTCACTAAAATAATTTAATAAATGATATAGTTATATTTGAATATAAAAGCTGTTCTAAGAAAAAATGTTTCAAGCATGAAAAGGCCTTCTGTTTCCTTGGTTTTTACGTCCTAGGTATTTTGGGAGAGTAAGCTTATGATTTTAGACTTTTTTTCTCATTGGGCTAAAAACCAGAAGCCTTTTAACCTTCTTTCACTCCATTTGATGCCTTTCTCTGCAAGAACCTTCAGTGGGAATTTATCATTCTGGAACAGAGGAGGCCAAAGCCATACGCAGAGTCCCAAGAAACAGCCCCAAACTTGAGACTGTTGATTCTCAAGCTGACAGGAAGAGGGTTACTGGATAAAGGCCATAGCTGATGTTTGAGGCTTGTAACATCAAAACATATGGGTTGGAATACTTACTTATTTATAGTAGAATATAAAAAATTAAAAAATCAGTTGCAAAAAGAAGTGTTTGTGTTGATCCCATTTTCAAGTTGGGGAATAAGAACACACTTAGAAATATCAGCAATTCCTGGGCTCGGGCAGGGTGAGAAAGTTTTCCTGCCCAGTTCCAGCAGTCAAGAGCAGTGAGTTTATATTTGTTCATATTTAAACACTAGCTATGAAACTGTCTCCTACCCTTGTTTCTGTGTCTATCAAAAATGATCATTCTCAATCTCAATCAATTATCATTCTCAAGTGTGGAAAACCAAATATCCTTCACTGACAAAAATAAAGAATTCCACAGGCTGTACTTCAGACCTATCAAGTGCTAGCATAGTTCTTTCTTTTTTGCCTAACAAAATACACTTTTTATTAATCTAGAATGTAAAGAACATTGATGTTTTTTCATCTCATACTTCTTGTTGAAGAATTTCCACATGCCACCTAACTCTGAAGGCTTAGGGGCTAAGATGCTTAAGTAATAGCGGATAAATCAAAGTAAATTAACATGGCACCAGTACTAGCACAGAATGTACTTAAACCCCAACAGCTTTGGGGTGAATTTATAGAGACTAATGGGTATTGTAAGAGTCGTGACCTAATGTCCCTCACAAAACTTGATGCCCATGAAATAATGATGGTTTACTGTAAAGAGCCAGCCAGGTCAAATGGAAGTCGGTCCTTTCCTCTTCTATCCCCTAGCTCACACTGACCCCTTCTCCTTTGATTGAACCCACTGCATTTTAGTTACAAGAGTGAGAAGGACATTTTGCCCAAAGGGAGCAGTTAAATGCTGTGAATGCCTGCTCCATTTCCTAAGATATTTTTTAGATCTCACACAGAATAAAGTTTTACAATACATGGTTGAATTTAGAGAAAACTTAAATAGCTGGAAAATCTGTGTGACTAATGATCACCTCTTGATTTTCAGCCATCTTCTCTCAAAATTGCTGAAAACAATGCTAGAGACATAAGGAGGTGTCTTCTGCTACATGCAACAAATAAAAGTTCTTGAATTTAAAAAACACCACATGCACACAGCAAACCAAAAGTTTACTATGGTTTCCAACCATTCTGAAGGGGGTAAAAAAATGGAGACAGTACTGTTTTCATCATTATTAATCTAGAACACTGTATTTTATATTACTTCAAAGAGAAAGATGGGAAGAAACCACGGAGACAATGTTAGTTTTCATCAAAGAACAATAGGGCCTTGGAATTCAACAATATTATTCCAATAAATATAATTATTTTCTCCCCTCCTTTCATCTTCTATTATTCTTGTCAAGTAAGGGGAATGGAAAGAATCACGGGAAACAACACATGCATTCTGCAGACCCTGTCAGCCTGCAACTTCCGTTTGAGGAACTTGTTTTTAGAAGGCTCTTAATAACCATAATAGAGTCTTCTAGTTAGATAAGATAAGAAAGGCTGGGTCAGAAGAGATATGATGATGTTCTGGCACCTAGAAACTGATCAGCGTGGAGCCTGCCCGCTGAGGAAGCAGAGAAAGCTTCGTGTTCTCAGCTCCAGTTTGAATGGCCTCATTCAAAAGATGAACTACAGCCTTCTGACAGAAAAGTACCATGTGATGAATACCCATGTAATGCATTTCCAGCAATGTTGCTTCACTGATTAGAGTTGTATTATAGTCACTGATACATCATTTATATTGCTTTGTTATACATATCGATAGCATCATTTGTACTCTGGCCACAAGACTAATGTGCTTATTACAGAATCACAGAATCACAGAATGACGGGGGCTGGAAGGGACCTCAGGAGATCATCTAGTCCAATTAATTGTATGTGTTCTGCATTTAAGTTCATTTCATCTATTAGCTATTTGTTTGGAAAAAAACTCTCAAGCATAATAAGACATAATATATGAAATCTCATTTACTTGGACTGGAAAAGAAGAACACAGAATGTCAAAATGTGTTCCCATCAAACACTTGTGTTCTTTTTAAGTAAATCAAAGTAATTATTTTTTTTTTTTTTACAAATAAATCAACAATAGATTTCACAAAGAGAACAAAGTAATGAAAATATCCATAATATGTTTAAAATGAGTCTTAGTGGCATCAAGTACACCAGGTGCCCTCAACTATTATGCTCTCCTTGATGTTCAATTGATTTAAACAGACTATAAAATACAAACAAAAGCACAGGAGTGTGCAGTGAAACACAAAGGGCACAGACTATTTTCAAACAGCTTGGACAAACAAGGTTCTCTATTAGCACAAAAAGAAAGCAGCGGCAGCATATTACTCACTAATATTCCCATCTGCGGTTGGCATGGTGCATTGCCTTCACGCTGACACTTTCAAAGTGTCAAATACTTCTATCTTTCCTTTCCAAACAAAAGAATCTCTTCAATTCCAATTACTAATTATGTAGTAGGCCACAATGAGCTTGTAATTCAATTCTTAATGCAAGTTTTACTTTAATTATTTAATCTCTTTGGACAACTGCTCCCTAGAACATTCAGAAACACACGTCAATCACTGCACTGATGAAAAATGACTATTTCAAAGCACTAAATGATGCTAAAAACATTAATTTGTTCTTACAGTCCATATTTAATACAAATGTAATTAATTTGTCTCTGAAAATCACAACTTGTATTCTGCTAACATCAGATCTTTCCACAGAACAATGCAGCTCTCAAAAGAACATGGAAAAGGTCTCAAATAGACTCTACTTTCTGCTGTCAAGACATTAACTAAAAAGCACAATGATAAAAGTTTAAAGCTAAGCCTGTTCTGAAGGTTATAATTATAATAATCAAAACTGATCACTAATATATCAGTTGCACACATACATGGGTTATGGTTTAGTGGTGGACTTGGCAGTGTGAGGTTACTGGTTGGACTCAATGATCTGAAAGGTCTTTTCAAACCTTAATGATCCTATGATTCTAAGATTCTACTGCAGTATTTCAGCAAAAGCATCAGGTTCAGTTTTTGGAATACCATGAAATTCTAAAGAAGCTTGCCCATATCTGTGTCTCGTAAAACAGGGGACGTAGTTCCTGTTTTATTATTGCATTAGTATGACAGAATATCTGGGTAGGAAATTCTACATACCTCAAAGACAGCACGAAGGAAGACTGATTTTGGGAAAACCCGAATGAGTTAAGGTGAATGACACAATCCATAGGACGACTTTTAAAGAACTGGGATTGGTAGGCCTTTGGTAATGGCCACAGTTTTGGTTCCAACTGAGATCAGGTTCATTATTCTTGTGGACCTTACCAATATGCCACTGTAGTTGATAATTCCCGCCCTGCTCCCCCCTCCCCAAAGCCCCCTGTCGCTATGTGATTCCTAAACATTTTTTTTATTCACTAAAATAACTGTTGGGGTTGTGGGAGCAGTTCATCTCTAGCGCCATTTGCAATGTTGCATTACTTTCTTGGTCTTTGTTGGGTGGGTACATGGACTGGCTTCCCTAGGAATAATTTCCTGCTTCCACTTAATATAGGCATAGGAAAAACCCTTTTTTTTCACTCCAGGAGGCAGTACAGTTTATCTGAAAGTGTGGCACCTATCCATTAACTGCCAATTCATTTTCCATATAAATTATACTCCAGATGTAATTACTCAACTTGCTATGTCACATTAACATTTGACTAGAGATTGAAAAACTTCCAAAATCAAAATAACAATATAAAGTTGCCTTGCAGACAAAACGTGTCCATCAACAGACATGGCTGTGTTGATGAAAGAAACAGTTATCAGTCCGGTAGTTAGCTGGTTTATTAAGGGACACCAAATTGGTCCTGTGTCCATGGAACATATTTCTTAGCTTAGAATGGCATATAGTAATATGTAACAAATTAATACAGTGAATTATTATTGTATGCACAGCTTTGTTTTGCAAGGACACAAAGACCAGAATCAAAGCAATTGTCCACTTTACTAGGTGCAGGAATTAATACCTTGTAGTAACAAATAAATTTGTTAACTAGTATTTTAGCCATACAGTGCTGTCCATATTAAAATCAAGTAAAGATAATTAGCAGTTTCTATGCATTTCTGAACTACTGCAGTTTATTAAGTGCTCTGTCCCCTTCCAAAGCTGTAACAGGTTTCCCATCATCTGTCAGATTTAACATTACAGGATCTAATGAAGTGTCCTTCCAGCTGAGGACAGCTGACTATTGCTTCAGT